TAACTTTTAGGAATATTGCTTCATATCTTATGAGCGTAGGTTTTGTATAAATACTCTACCAATCGATGAATAATAAACAAGTCATTCTATTCATTCTTTCCCCTAATTTGTCATGGTATTAGAGTCAGGTTCACGATATGGGACCTTAAATGGCTAAAGTTCACTGGGTCAAGAGTTGGTCCATGTGAGAGGGAGTGAAGAAGCACTCTAGCCCGAAAAATCACATGAGACAAAAAATAGATCTTACATGTGAGGGGGAGTGTTGAACAATAGATCTTCCAAGTATCACTACATATAAGTGTTCCACATTAATTGAAGAAAACAGAGTTAGTCATTTAATAAGACTAAGGGGCCACTCCCCTAATTTGTCAAACACATAATTAGAATGACCAATTGCTCATATGTAAAAGACAATCATAAATAACAATGCGTCTACTTAAGTTTATGATTACGTACACAATTCATATTTAAAACTTAAGAGGCCTCTCGATCAGATCATAGTGGCTTATTACCCAAACAAAAAATTATGGAGTAGATCAAGGAATATTAGTTACTATTCTTTAGATGTTCCTAGAGTAGTACTTATTTCACAAGAAAATTATTAAAACATACATATTAATTTTTATTTTTATTTTTTTTTTTCAAAAAATGCGAAAAATAAAAAAAAAAAACTAGCTATATAAGCTAAATAAAATAAAAACTATAATAATACGAAACGGACCCTAATTATTTGATTAGTATCTAAATAAAAGTTGATTTTTTTTTTTCGAAGTATGGTAATTTGCAGGAATGTAAAATATGTTGAAGTTCCCAGATCATACAATGTGATACACAAATGAAGTAAAATATTTCACGGCGGACCTCATCAGATTCGAAAATGTATTCCAATAAAGTTGTTGCAGTCATATGGTATTAAATACTAGTCATAATAAACCATTGGTATTAAATACTAGTCATAATAAACCATTATATATAAGATGCATCACATGCATCATGCATGGGACTTGGTTTAGTGGAAAGGATGACACCTTTCTACCTTGAGGTTGGGGGTTCAATCTCCATTAGAGGCATTTAGAGGGTGGAGATCCCTTACCCTTCCCCCCTCACTTTCAAAGTGACCTTTTTCTTGCATTCTTGTTAGCAATTTTTCCAGTTTTTTTAATCCGATTTGATTCCTGAAGATATCCGAGAAAGCATAACTTCCTAATGGCGAGTGATTTACTGCGAGATTGGGAAAAATTGAAACTCACGGATGATGAAACCTTGGTGATTGGGGGTTCGAATACAGGGGAGATTGATGAAAACCAGAAAATTAGGCTCGATCTTTCTCCTGTGGGAAAGATGCTAACAAATAAACCCTATAATGTTGAAGCAATGAAACGTGTCCTCAAAGGACTATTGAAGTTGCAGGACAATATAGCAGTTTGCAGTGTTGACACGAATTTATTCGTCTTTCAATTTTTCAATATGGAGGACAAGAACAGGGTATTAGAAGGACGACCATGGTCTTTCGACCAACAATTGCTGCTGCTGAAAACTATTGATGGGGATGAACAACCTTCTGATATTGTGTTTGATTCATCCCCTTTCTGGATTCGTTTATTGGATGTTCCCTTTGGACGTCGTAATGTATCCTTTGCACAAGAAGTTGGAGATGCTGTAGGACGCTTTATGGAATTTGATGACTCGGACCCGATTGGATGGGAAGAATTTATGAGAGTGAAAGTCATGATTGATATCTCGAAACCTTTGCGACGTGGAATTATGGTTGCGACCAATACAAACACCACAAAGTGGATAGGCTTCAAATATGAGAGACTAGGCGATTATTGTTACTTTTGTGGCAAATTAGGACACCTTGACAAGGATTGCTTGGAACAGGAGGTTATAGAGGGGAAAAATGCGATTGTGTTCCAATATGGGCCTTTCCTGGTGGCCTCTACGCATCAAAAATCTCGTGCTTCGATGGCTGACAGGGAGAAGGAACGAGAATGGGTGGAATCCCTTGCAAACCGAAAGCAATCTCACAGAGTAACTTACAACAATCCGAATGCTATTCGCCTTGGACCTCCTAGTGCAGCAAGGAGGCTCCATTTCTCTTCTCCTGGGAATACCTCAATTGTTCCCAAAGCAAGAGAAGTATCTCTGCGAGCAGTGGTTGATGAGAGCAGCAATAAAATTGTCCTTAGGCCAGGGTCAGTGTCAAGCCAGCTTTCGACAGAAGAACTGAGGGATTCCATTGAGCCTATGGGGGTGAGTGAGGGAGATAAGGAGAAGGAGAGTGAGCTGGGAATTAAAACACAGGTGAGGGAACAAAAATTGGAAAGGAAATCATGGAAAAGAGCTGAAAATCGCTCTAGGACAGAGGGAGGAGGAGACTTCTTGGACACCTCAGAGAGTACTGGAGAGGGTGTACTAAATAGGAAGAGAGGTGCAGCAAGCTTGAATGAAAATGGGAACTCTGACTTGCAAGGCAGTGAGGGGAAAAAAATCAAGCTGACTGGTGGGGTGACTTTCTCAGCAGGACAAGAAGGAAAAGGTGGGATGCACACTTTGGTTAATCTTGATTGAAACAGCTTGGAGGGCTCTAATCTCCCAGTAGCGGGTGTTGGTACAAACCAACCCCGCGAAGAGCCATGAATACTGTATGCTGGAACTGTTGAGGTGCAGGCAGACCTCGAGCAGTTGACGCACTACACAGATGGTGCTTGAAGCATGCCCCGGACTTGCTATTCCTCTCAGAGACAAAAATCAGTAAAGGTCAGTCCGAAAATCTGAAAAATCGTCTAGGTTTTTATAGTGCTATAGGAGTTAGCAGCATTGGTTTGTCGGGGGTTTTATGTTTGTATTGGAATAATGATAAAGTAGATTTTTCTCTTGTCTCTTTTTCGAATAATCATATTTGTGGTGATATTGATGGAGGGGCTGGTTTAAGTGGCGTTTTGTGGGGTTGTATGGTTGGCCGGAAACGGCAAATAAACATAAAACTTGGCAACTTCCTAGGAGTTTATGTGACTTTTTTTCGAGTCCTTTACTCATTGGTGGAGACTTAAATGAAATTCTGAGCTATAATGAAAAGGAGGGAGGAGTAATATGTGATCGGAGGGCTATGGCAGACTTTAAAGAATGCCTGAGAGAATGTAACTTGCACGATCTTGGGTACTCGGGTGATCGGTTCACTTGGGAGAGAGGCCTCACTGAGCAGACCTTTATCCGTGAGAGGTTAGACCGGTTCTATTGTAATAACTCGTGGCGCTCCTTATTCCCAGAAGCTGAAGTTGAAAATATTGTGAGGTATAAATCTGACCATAGTCCGATTCTTGTGAGGCTCCAGCGTGCAAAAAGGAAGAATAAAAAGGGGAAGAAGGCTCTCAGGTTCGAGACAGCTTGGTTACTATATGCTACTTGTGAGAAGACCATCAAAGATGTTTGGAGTGATAATGCAGGGGTACCAACTGAAGCAAGACTTGAGCTCACATTGGGTGCGCTTAAGAAGTGGAGTGGCACAAAATTTGCGTATTTAGATGCAAAAATTGAAAAAGCCGAAAAAGAACTAAAAGAGGTGCAATGTGGTAACATGTCTGCTGAGAACATTGAGTACTCTGGAGAAAAAACTTGAAGATTTATTTGAAAAACAAGAGGCATACTGGTATCTCAGGTCAAGGGCAGCAGAGATTAAGGACGGGGATCGCAACACAAAATACTTCCACCAAAAAGCTTCTCAGAGTCGAAGACGCAACGAGATTAAAGGCTTGTTTGACTCGTCTGGAACTTGGAGCACTGATGATGAGGAGCTTGAAAAAATTGTTGAACATTTTTATGCTAACCTTTTTGCTTCGGCAGGTCCCTCTATGGAGGATTGCGAAAATGTTCTTGCGGCTGTTTCCCCCTGTATCAGTTCGGCTGACAATGAATCTCTTCTCAAGCCATGTACCAAAGAGGAGGTTTTTGCAGCACTAAGTGACATGCACCCTTGTAAAGCCCCGAGGCCAGATGGACTACATGCCATTTTCTACCATAAATTTTGGCATGTATTAGGTGATGTTGTTTTTGGGTCAGTACTCAATTAAATTCTTTGTGGGATGGTGTCTCCTTCATCGGTGAACAACACAAACATTGCTCTCATTCCTAAAGTGCAATCCCCAAAAATAATGGCTGAGTTCCGCCCAATTGCCCTTTGTAATGTTTTATATAAGATAGCTTCGAAGGTGATTGTCATGCGCTTGAAGGAAATTTTGCCGAATGTAATTTCAGAAAATCAGAGTGCCTTTGTCCCGGGTAGGTTGATCACAGACAATGCTCTGGGTTAGAGACCTCATTGATGCAGAGCGGAATGAGTGGAATCATGACATTATTGATGCAAATTTTAATGCTCGAGACGCTGCCTTTATATTGCAGATTCCTGTAAGCATTCGTGAGCCTAAGGACCAGCTAACATGGGCTTTTTCTCACGATGGAGTCTATTCTGTTAAGACGGCTTACTTACTAGGAAAGTCGTGTAACCTTGAGCTTTTTCATGAGGTGTGGATGCTAATATGGGGACTCGATACAATTCCAAAAGTTAAACAATTTCTCTGGAGATCTTGCACTAAATCGCTCCCCACTCGTGAATTGCTACACTATAGGCACATGGCTGAAACTGATGCTTGCCCTTGGTGCTGTACAAACAGTGAGACAACGGTCCATGCCTTCTTCTTTTGCAATGCAGTACGTGACTTATGGAGGGAATTGAACTGCGAGAGTCTGGTCCCTACCGATCCAAATGAAGACTTGAAGGACATGCTGGTTCGTTGGCACAAACTTGATTCTAAAAGATGTCTAATAGGTGCAGCATTATTATGGTACATTTGGAGCAGACACAACGATAAATTTTTTAATGCGAAAGAAGTGCCTCATTTGGTTATTAAAGACAGAGTACATCGGCTCATTAACGACTGCATCAAATATTGCTCCAAGATTTATGGTGTGTCGAGAGCAAGAAAAGGTAGAAGCCCGAAGGTATGGAGTCCCACCCTCCTGATTTTATAAAGATAAATTGTGATGCTTCGTTGCGTGATGAGGGGTGGGTTGGTGTTGGAGCTGTGGCTAGAAATGACAGGGGAGAAGTCCTATTTGCGGGAACCAGACGTTCTCGGGGCTGCTGGCCTCCCGAAATTGCTGAAGGCAAGGCTATTCTCTTTGGCTTAAAGCTTGCTCGAAGATATGGGTTGAAGCATGTGATTGTTGAATCGGATAGTCAAGTTACCATAAATCGCCTCTCGAAAGCAGTGACTTACTTCTCTGACTTTGATTCTGTTCTAGATGACATAATGTTTGTTAGCAAATTCCTTGATTTTGTATCTTGGTCTCATGTTCGTAGGGATGGGAATGTTATCGCCCATTACCTTGCTAGGCTAGTACCGTTTGGTTCTGAGCAAATATGGGAAAATCATTGCCCCTCTGAAATTGCTCCGTATGTATTAATGGACAATTTGTCCAAGCCTTAATTTATGGTACTCCTAACTTCCTTTCAAAAAAAAAACCCTATTATAATTATTTTATTAACTTTAATCCTTTTTCCCGTTTTGTTTCTCTACGTTGCAATAGGCAGCTCTATTATCAAACAAGAAAAGTTAATCTCTTAATAAACCTTTAGTCCTTTGATTATTTTCATGATTCTTCCACCAAACTTATCATGAAATCCCAATGTAACTATGCAAGCCCTCACATAATGTGTCGGCATGAATTGCAAGTTAGGAGTCGAAAGTCAGTGCAATACTTTAATTTGCTCTAATAGTTTGCTACTCCTTCCGTTTTTAAATATTTGTTCCATTTCGCCGTGCGCTGAGTTTTAGGAGAAATTAGAGAAAATAATAAAATATGAAGATAGTGGGGTAGATGGAAGAATAAAAAATTGTAAAATACCAAATTAGTGGAGAGAATTAGAGTAGAGAGAACATGAAATTAATAAAAATATGATTAATGGTGGATTCACTAGTTGAGAGAAATTAATTAAATATTGTAAAATCTTTCCAAATAAAGAAATGGTGCAAGTATTTAAAAACGTCCGAAAACTAAAAGTGGTGCAAGTATTTAAAAACGGAGGGAGTATTTGCTTAATTATTTCCGAAAGGTAATCACACTATTAATCCTTTACTTGGAGTTGCTTGATTATAAAGTGATTGGATTATTATATACTGTGTGTAAATTTATTGAAGTTGTTTGGTTATAATTTGTTTAATGATTGTACTTTGTATTATTATGTGTAAATTTTATAATTTGCTATTAATATGATCATGTTTCGTAGATATGTGGTTGATTTATGGTGATATATGATATAATTGTTGTATTATTTTGTTTTATTATATTGATTAACTGTGTTTTTGTTATGAGGTTTTAGGGTTATTAATGCAGAGTATTATTTTTTGGTTGTGAGTTAGTTAATTTTGGGTATTAGTTTTATTGCCCTATAAGAGTTAAGATATTAATTTTATGCATTGAGTTGATCATGTTATATTATTTGGGAACATGTGCCATTGTTGAGTTATTATTATAAAATTGTGAATTATTATCTGATCAAAGTATGAGATCAAAAGGTTGAGAATTATATTTTGTTCTTGGTTTGAGGCTCGGCGTTTATTACCTTACTCCTTGGCATATTGGTAAGGATATTATAATCATCAGTTAAGAATGAGGTACAATATTTATTATATTTTTCTATGGTCCCCTACAGTGGGATTTGTCCCGTATTTGGTCTAGTTCAAGGTGTTTTTCTGGTTATTGAGAGTATTCAAGTTTGTATACTTGTTGGTTTATTATTCGAATTACCCATGTCCAAGGCTAGGTATAAACAAAGAGCATGACACACTTATGGGATGTATACACTATGTGATGCTTAGCTTTCGAACCTAAGCAATACTCAGCAATCACCATTGTATATGTGCCTAGCTTCCAAACCTAAGAAACTTTCAAGATGGTTTATATGTTTTACACACACTGCATGTGATGCTTAGCTTCCTGACTTCAGCAGCATACATTGTCAACAAACTACCTCGCTTAGCTTCACAGCCTAAGTGCGTTCATGGGTCGTGTCACATGATGTAATTCTCCTTAGCCTTCTGTCCTATGAACATTCATCATGCATACATTATTTTCAAGACGAGCAATTCAATTTGATAAGAAGAAAATCCTTGCGATTTATTTTTCTTTGATCAACGAGAAAATTCAAAACTTTTTCCCTTTTTCATGTCTTTTCTATTAGAGAATTTTAAATACTTTTTAAAAAAATTTCTCAGCGAGAAAGTTGAAAAGTCCTTTCCTTTTTTCATATTTCTACTTTTGGGGAAGTTCAATTGTTTTTTTTAAATCTTTATCGAGGAAAGTTCAAAAACTCTTCATTTTTCACGTCTTTCTATTTTGGGAGAAAGTCGGTACCTTCCACTCATAACAAAAAATGACGGAAACTTTTGCTTTTGCATTTTCATTTTCTTGTTTCTGCACACACTCTCAAACTATACATACAATCACAAATTATACAAATATCATTTCATGTCAATTCTAACTTGGTCAAGTCAGTTGGTTAAGTTAATCAAAGTTTATACGAGTCCATTGGCAAAGTTTATTTTACAGGTCTCAGTTACGGACTCTGTTCGGGGAAAATCGAACGAATTACCATCCACATCCAAGTTCGGGGATTAAAGAACCATCTACATCCCAAGTTCGGGGAAAAGCGAACCATAATCATTCTTCAAATACTCAATGATCATCATTCAATAGGCTGCTCAAAGCGGAGTAACTCACGATAGATTTTCCCAAGGCGAGGAAGTTATCTTCACTCAGACAAGTTTTTCACAAGGCATAGAAAATTGTCGGTTGTTGCCACCTCTAAAGGTGAATAAGTCAGTGATTATAAAACTCCCGAGGCAGATATAAATCATCATCTAACAGCATTCTTGAGCCGGGGAAAATTCAACATCTAACAGCGTTTCAGAGGTGTGGAATCATCATTAAACAACATTCCCAAGGCAGGAAAAAGTCATCATCTAATAGCGTTCCAGAGGTATGGAATCATTATTCCCGAGGCGGGGAAAATATCATAATAGTCTTCATCCGGTGGATTTCTCGAGGCGGGGAAAGCTACCAAACATATTTGCCACTGATACATTGGTGTCAGATACGGACTCTAGTCTTCACTCTTTTATCTGTGGAACTAACACTTTTCTACAAGTATTGGCGTATACAAATTTATTTAGGATCGCAGAATGAAAGGAATGGTGTCCTTCGAACAAGTGTATTATTCTGATAGCGGGTTCAGAATTATTAGAAAGCAAATATATTCAGTAAGGTCAAGTGATCGGAATGCCTGGGTGGAGGCCGCTTCCGATCAGTAATATTAATATAACTAATATTACAGCTTAATCTTGACTGAACCCTTCGGGTCACACCCAAGCAAAATATACGAACCGACTCGACGAATTAATTCGGAAGAAATTAATTCGTCGCCCGAGTGTTAAATATTTAGACGTCGGTAATTCGAGCTTGGAGCGTCGAAACCGATCGTCGAAAGTCGAGTCAAAAAATAATAAAAAGACGAGACGTGCAAAATAATAATAAATCGACCATATTACCAAAATACCCCTATCATCAGAATGCCCCGAGCATCCGAATGATAGGGGCAAAAATTTCCAAGTATAGGTGGCTAAAAAGCACACCAAGCCGAGCCTAGCATGGCTGGCTAGGTGCGTGCTAGCGCACCGTGCTAGCAGCCACGCACTGCAGCAAGCCCGCACCAAGTGCGTGGCTTGCGCGCACAGCAGCAGCCCACATCTTGGTGCGGGGCTGGGCTCGGGCTGGGCTTGGGATGGGCTCGTGGCTGGGCCATAAGGCCAGTCACTATGGGGAAGCTTGAGGAATATGGGAGCAAGTGGGTAAGGACATGTGGCACAAGGAGAGTATTGAGTGGGGAGCAAGTATGGTCCCCTACTCTCCATGTGGTCCTCACCAACCCATTTCACATGGTAATGCCACTTGTAGATTTATTATTAGTTTGCAATTTTAATTTAATTTAGCTTTAAATTAATTTGTGGAATTTCATGATCCCACATTGATGGGATAGAAATTCCCACTCATACTTTCCTCTATAAATACCAACCTTGGGATTTGGAGTAAAGTGCTTGAGTGGGAGTTAGAAAGAGCATTCCATATTTTGGGAAAAACTCTTAAACTCCATTAACACTTGGGTTTTGGTCAGACCTTGCTAACTCCAATGTAGCGGACCTAAAAAGTCGTGTTCGTCCTTTGTGGGTGGATACCGTTGTAGGCACGACATTTGCGGTGCTCAAGGCTTTCAAGTAAGAGCCCGTTTTGAGAGGGCGAAGCTCGCTTCAAGGGTATGATTCGTTCTTCCTTTTCTTGTGTTTATTTATTTATGCTTTATGTTTTTATTAATTACGAGTGGTTCCTTGGGTCAGGGTTGTTTCCGCGATGAGTCGGACTCACCAAACCCCAACAGCGGTATCGGAGCCCCACTCGTTTATTTTTATAATCATGTTTTTCAAGATTTATTTTGGCTTATTTTTCTGGTTTAAGTTGCTAATTAGATTAGTAGCTCGGTTTTATTTATTTTAATCCCGTTTTAATGTCGAATTCGGCCCAGAACCCAGATATTCGCCCAAAAATAGTGAATTTTGGGTGGAAAAGGTGTTTTGGAAAGGTTTTTACCCCTTGAAAAATTTTGGGTGCCTTTTTCGAGGGATTTTTCGTTTTTGACAAAAAATTTTAAGTCTTTTCTAACCTTAAAATTAATGGCATAACTTGTTGATTATGTGGTTGATTATTTGCATTATATTCTGCTTTTTTAAGTCCCTTTAAAGCACACTTATTACTTGGTAGTATTTTATGCTTAAAGGTTGATTTATTTTTACATAATTGCAAACTAATTGCTTTTTAGTGTGAAAATTTTTGTTTTGAGGCTTCCTAAGTGTTAAAGATTCAATCTTTATTTGTGATAAGTGTTTGAAACTTTAAAAACTACTAAATTCCATGTTATTTTGTGTTAAACTTTGTTGTTTTAATCATTTAGAGTTGATTGGAAACATAAAGTTTCAATTTTTGTGATAGAAATTTGGTTATCTTCATGTTAGAAGATATAATTTTCAAGGATTCACAAAATTTATATGTTGGAATTTTCATTTGAACATTAAAGTTCATATTTTTCCAACTTCCCCTTACTTTGTCAAATTCTCAAGTTTAATTTAAATTGATTAAATTAAAAGTGAGAAATTGCCTCAACTTTGTTATTGCACCAAGCTAAACCAATTTAATTAAGAATGGTTCTTGGAATTATTTTGGGTATTTGCACTTTGAAATTTTATTAAGTTAGACTTGTTTAAAAATTTTATTTTTTGCTCATTTAGTTAGTTCTAAAATTAATTTAGAATTAATTAATTATGTCTCGCGAAATGGGATCAAATCCCGAGGCCATGGCACGTAAAACGAGGCAAAGAAC